ATAGATGGATAGATTTGGGTGACAAAATATTATAAAATTAGATGTGGCAATAGTTGCACATCTCTGTGAATATACTAAAAACCATTTATTGTAAACATTAATTGGATGAATTTTATGGTTTGTGAATTATGTCTCGATAAAGTTGTTTAAAAACTTAAAAGTTGGCCAGGTGCCGTGGCTCATGCCTGTAATCCCAGCAGTTTGGGAGGCCGAGGCGGGTGGATCACGAGGTCAAAAGATCGAGACCATCCTGGCCAACATGGTGAAACCCTGTCTCTAATAAAAATACAAAAATTAGCTGGGTGTGGTGGCATGCACCTGCAGTCCCAGCTACTCAGGAGCCTGAGGCAGGAGAATCGCATGAACCCAGGAGGCAGAGGTTGCAGTGAACCGAGATTGAGCCACTGCACTCCAGCCTGGTGACAGAGTGAGACTCCGTCTCAAAAAAAAACAAAAAACCAAAACCAACAAAAAAGCAAAAGTTAGAGCAGTAAAAACAGGGCAAAATAAGGGCACATATTCCAAAGTACTAGCTGTAATTGAAGTTCGGTGTGTTATTTTTCATAGCCTCCATCAACCAAATAACAATATTTTTCACTACTAAAAACACATTTCTTCTAACATCTGAGTATAATATTTAGGCTATACTCAGGAGTAGAAGAAACACATCCTTTTATTCAGTTAGAGTTTTAATAACTGTGCTTTCTTTGATGGTACGAATTCTAAACTTGGAACAGTATGAAGATTTAGCATGACTCTTTTGCAAAGGTACATGTACATCAGTGCAGTGTTCATATATTTAAAAACCTTTATTGAAGGAAATAAGACTTGAATAAATGTGTAAAGATGTGACCATACAAAAAGACAACAATTCTCTGTAGATTTCCCTAATAATGTAGTGAATTCCCAGTCAAAACTCCATCAGGACTTGCTTGTAATGTTATAATGACTAACTGAAATTCATAAACAGGAATGAAGGTGTAATAATAGCAATCCCACAGAAAGAGTATTTAATAGAGAACTTGCCTCAATTGGCTTACAGGTCTCAGAAAGGCATGATAATAAAAATGGTGTGACTAGTGCAGAGAGAGGCAAATATGTGCCCAGAAACAGACCCGTGCACATATGGAAAACTGCTATGTGTAAGAGATTGCAGGATAATCCAGTATGTCAAACTGTCAGAATTATGGAATCAACACATGCCAGTGAGGAAATCAGCAGGATGGTAAAACTGGTAAGAGCATTTGGAGAACTGAGGAAAAAGTCTGTTATGCACAAAACTGGTGACCCTTCAGCAAGGTAATAAACCCATAATCTTACCACAGAGAAATTATGCTAAAAAATCTATAAGTTAACCTAATTTTACAGAGTATAGGCTTTACTAGTAAATACGAAGCCAAACAAAGGTATATACTTCCTAGAGAATGAAATGTTCCTTGGGTGGGCCTGTCAGAAATGCTCCAAGGTCTTCATTTTGCCTTGTTTTCAAGCTATTATGACAGGTAGATGAGTTATTCCTTGCCTATCCTTGCAGGAAAGAATTAAATTTAGCTCAGACCATACACAAAGTGGATTCTAGATTATACTTGTGTGTTTGCAATATTATTTTCTCTACTTTATAAATTTGAAGCACTTCTTACTAAAAAAATGAGAAAATGGGTTCTTAAACACTAGATAGTACTTTCAATAAATGAGTTAGGTCTATATCTAAAAAAATCCTGTTGAATAAAAAAATCAGTTTGTAGCATGATGTGCTTATTGTGATATTAACATAAATCTAGACATACTGTAGAATTTCTGTGACTTCATGTACATGTGTATACAAACATAAAGGACTAGAAGAATCTAAATCTAAACTTTTTTTTTTTTTTTTTGAGACGGAGTTTCGCTCTTGTTACCCAGGCTGGAGTGCAATGGCGCGATCTCGGCTCACCGCAACCTCCGCCTCCTGGGTTCAAGCAATTCTCCTGTCTCAGCCTCCTGAGTAGCTGGGACTACAGGCATGCGCCACCATGCCCAGCTAATTTTTTGTAGTTTTAATAGAGACGGGGTTTCACCATGTTGACCAAGATGGTCTCGATCTCTTGACCTCGTGATCCACCCGCCTCGGCCTCCCAAAGTGCTGGGATTACAGGCTTGAGCCACCGCGCCCGGCCTAAATCTAAACTTTTATACCTCAGAAAAGATGAATAAAATATCATATTATTTTATTAATAATCCTTATATTCTGTTAAATTCAAGTATGTTGTACCAGGTAAAGATACAGTAATTTTAGCTTTTGTTAACAGATTAATTTACTCACAGTAATATTTTAACTAGTTTGAGCGTTAATTCCTGAATCGAATATTATTAAAATATGAGCAGTTCAGTGTTCTACCTAAGGAGTGGGAGGGGGAAACTTATGAAGTATTTGAAGAAGCAAGACAAAGAAAATATCTGACTGGAACAAGTGGGAAGTTCCTAGTTAGAGGTGAGTTGGTGGTTTCTGATTGGCTAAGTTTCATTTCCACTGTTTACATTGAGTGGAGTTTCCATTTGCTTATATAGGAACCATCTTTGCTGAATGGCCTCCCAATTCATGATTACTATGAGATGGAGTTTCACTCTTGTCACTCAGGCTGGAATGCAATGGGGGGATCTTGGCTCACTGCAACCTCTGCCTCCCGGGTTGAAGCAATTCTCCTGTCTTAGCCTCTCCAGTAACTGGGATTACAGGCGGCGCCACCATGCCTGGCTAGTTTTTGTATTTTTAGTAGAGATGGGGTTTCAGCATGTTGGCCAGGCTGTTCTCAATCTCCTGGCCTCAAGTGATCCTCCTGCCTTGGCCTCTCAAAGTGCTGGTATTACAGGCGTGAGCCACTTCGCCCAGCCCCAATTATTTTAGCGCTTTGAAACATATGTTTACCTGGCACAACAAATCTATGTTATATCTAATGCGTTGTATATCTGACATGTCAAATCAGTGGGGGAAAAGATGTGACATAGCAAAAGATTAGGGAAAAAATTACACAGCACTATCTTGTACCATCTATTGAAACTATAAATGAATAAACAAATTACATATTAAAAAGTAAAACACAGGTAAAACTGTGTTATATAATCTTTGTAGAGGGAAGGTTTTTCTAAGTATGCTCTCAAAATCAGAACTGTTAAAGGAAAAAGTGATAGTTATGACTGAGTAAAAATTTCAATATTGGGGAGACTTTTATTAAAGCTAAAGGCGAATGTGAAAAGGGGGCTATTTTAACAGTACATTTCAGAGACTGTGTGTTTCTAGTCCTTGAAAATGAGTCTATAAGTGAACAGATGGGCACGAATGGTCCAAATGGGTAGATAGCCTTTTCAGTCACTCCTCTTTCCCTGCTTGTGAACAGAGCTGATGGTCACTGCCCAGAGTCTTATTTATGGAAGTGGTACCTGTATTCTCCAAATAAAAAGTTTTTTTGTGATGGAAATAACCTGCCTTCAAATGACATTTCCCCTTGCCTGTGGAGTTTTCTTCCCTCCTACCACCCACACCTAACCACCCTTGTAAGAACAACTTTAGTTTTGCCTGACACGAATGTAAAATTTAGGGAACTTGGTATGTGCAAGATAAAAATGAATGTCTAGTGTAAAATATTACAGTGCATTGGGAAGTATGAACTTCCAATGGGATAAAAACAAACTCCACTTAATTGAGGGCATTTTATATCTTTGCTTTTTTTTGTTTTTGTTTTTTTTGAGACGGAGTTTCGCTCTTGTTGCCCAGGCTGGAGTACAGTGGCACGATCCTGGCTCACTGCAATCTCTGCCTTCTGGATTCAAGTGATTCTCCTGCCTCAGCCTCTTGAGTATCTGGGATTACAGGCATGAGCCACCACACCTGGCTAATTTTTGTATTTTTGGTAGAGATGGCGTTTCACCATGTTGGCCAGGCTGGTTTTGAACTCCTGACCTCAGGTGATCCACCCACCTCGGCCTCCCAAACTGCTGAGATTACAGGCGTGAGCCACTGTGCCCATTGTGTATCTTAGAAATTAAAAACAAAAACAAGAACAAAACTTCTCCAATAGGATAGTCAAGAACCTTTTTCTACCTCTTTTGTTGATGACTCAAGCTCTTCTTTGTGAGATGTGTACTCTTAAGGTGAGTGGAAGTGGAAGGAGATTGGCAATTCTTTTATAATACAGGGCAGGACTTACTCTTAAACTCTTTCTTGAAGTTTGCTTCTCTGAGTGGACCTGCCCTTATGGTGTGTCTGTTGAGATATCTTTGGCTCAATAAACTGGCCTAAGATTCTGCAAGGCAGATTGGTTTTCACCTTCTCTATGTTACTTCAGCTTTCTGTGGTATATATTTAATGGGAAATAAGACAGTTTATAAAAAATAAAGTCCTTGCAAAATACGTACCCTTGCCTTCAGGTATGTATTTTTAGGAAATAATTAGGCAAGTGAGTAAAGGGGTTGCTTATTATAGTAGTTTGTAATGCCAAAACTTTGGGAGCAACCTACATGCCTGAAAATGAGGAGCAGGTAACAAATTATGGTATTTCCAGTCAGTAGAATGCTGCAGATGCTATGATAAAGCAGCTCTGGATTTATTGAGAAGAAAAGATTCAGGATAATTCCTGTATATAATTAATTATACTGTATATCATAACCCATTATAATAAATATCTTTAATAAAGTTTCATTAAAGTATATATAGATTCACTTGGGAAAAAACCTGGAAGGATATATACAAGATACAATCCTATCTTTGGGTGGAGAGCTGTGGAGTAATTTCAGTTAACTTATTTTTTGTGTACTAGAATGAAAAAAAGGTTATTAGGGCTATATTTCAGGAATGTTTGACACATAACAGTAGAATTTTGTTGCTTAATTTTTTAAATTGATAAGAAATGGAGGTAAGATGTATAAAAATAATTGGAAGGCTTGTATTGTGTAATTGCACCGGTGTAGACTTTTCTCACAGGACAAAGAAATAAAAAACCTCACTCTGCTTTTTTAATTAACAGATCTTCTCACTCAGATATGGCGACAAGCAGCCTTCACTTTGCGTCATGTGATAAGCAGGCACCCAGACAGCGCGGAGCATCTACTGTGAGCAGGTCAGGAAGGGTTGTGGGCATTCCTGGGGAAAGAGGGGAGAACAGTCCAACCCTTGAAGGAACATAATACTGATATCTGCATAGTGCTTTGCATTTGACAAACCGGTGAGGTCAGGAGAGTCCTAGGCAAGTAGAGTGCCCATTTTATAAATCGGAGGAGACAAGGTGGCTGCTAAGACACTCAGCGAACAGGAGGCACTGTTACATGAGAGCAAAACAAATTCAGCCTTTGGGGCACAACTCCCTTTCAAGTCATTTTTATCTTTAAAGATTTTTAGCAGTTATTTTTATTATAAAATAATAAATCACACTGCCAAACATTGGAGGACAGGAGAACCATCCACCGTAACGATGACCACTTGAACGCATAATTTTGGTGTCTTTCCTTCCAGTCTTTTCCTAGGCATGTGCTTCTTGACACAGTTGTAGCCATAATAGAATTTTTCATCAAATATTATATTATGATTATTTCTCTTTCTTACATTTTTCTCATAATCTTGGCCTAAAAATACATTTTAAGTATACTGTTTAGTAATCTACTTTTTGCAATTTAATATAGCATGACATTTTCCATTAGTTATTTTTCTGTGATATCATACTTGGTTAATTCTTGTTCCTTTCCAGACCATTTTAGAATTAACAGATTCTCTCTTTGAACATGAAAGTTGTTTTTTATGAGTTATTAAGGCAGCTCTGTTAAAGCTGTTTTAGTACATGAGAAAGCACTTTTCATCCATCCTTACAGGTTTATTAAACTTTTAAAATTATACAGCAGATCGTTAGCAGTTCAGATTTTGCATTTGAAATTTCAGCTATGCATGTGTTCTTTATACTCGTGGGCTTAATATTTTGTCTTACAAGTCTACCCTCACAACATACAGGAGAAGTTACAGAATGGAGATAAAGTTGAAAATAACTTGTAGGCCGGGCATGGTGGCTCACACCTGTAATCCAAGCACTTTGGAGGCCAAGGCAGGTGGATCACCTGAGGTTGGGAGTTCAAGACCAGCCTGACCAACATGGTGAAACCCCGTCTTTAAAAAAAAGAAAGAAAAAAAATAACTTCTAAGAATCTGAAGCCATTTGTTTTCCTATCCTTTTTTACTGCGTATGTCCCTACTCATGGAATTTTGTGTTTTCTTCAAAAAGAAGTGCTCTTCCTTCATAGTTAGCCTCTAACTCATCCAATAGTTTCCTAAGTAACTACTGTATCAACATTAATAATGTTGAGTTTGAAAGCTATAATAAAATAAATGAAAATTACTGAAAGCAATAATAAATAAGGGTATGACACGCACAGACAGCAACGAGCTGCATCTGTAGACTGGAAGTCTTTCGCGTGCACGTAGTTGTTGAAGTGATGAACCACACCTGTTTCCCGGCGAGCCATAACAAAAGAAGAGGATGCGGGAAGGAACCTTCGGGAACACAGAACATTGAAGGATGGCTGAGGCAATGACAGTTCAAGCAAGAGCTACGTAGATGTGTGAAAGAGGAAGACTCTATGAGTTGGTGGCCACAGGACAGGCAAGGGAACTGGGGGAGGGGCGAGTTCTGGAATGCAGTCAGCAGAGCCAGGTGTGGCAAAGAGGTCTTCAAGGATACAGGTGGAAAAGTATCCTTTGCATTTCATAGTGAGGCCTTTAGAGACCTTTAGCTCATAAGGTTTCAGGGAAGTTGGGGAAGGAGTCAGCTGCGTGGCTAAAGGTGAATGGGAGGTGGGGAAGTCAGGAGAGTGAGCATCAGTTCTTTTTTGAAGCTCTTGCCCATGAAGGGAAGGAGTGGGAGAAGGGTGTGTTAGGAGAGAAAGCAAGATTGAGGGAGTTATCTTTCTTGCTAGTTTTACTTTATTTATTTTTTTTTTATTTTTTATTTATTTTTTTTTTTTTGAGACGGAGTTTCACTCATGTTACCCAGGCTGGAGTGCAATGGCGCGATCACGGCTCACCGCAACCTCCGTCTCCTGGGTTCAGGCAATTCTCCTGCCTCAGCCTCCTGAGTAGCTGGGATTACAGGCACACGCCACCATGCCCAGCTAATGTTTTGTATTTTTAGTAGAGACAGGGTTTCACCATGTTGACCAGGATGGTCTCGATCTCTTGACCTCGTGATCCACCCGCCTCGGCCTCCCAAAGTGCTGGGATTACAGGCTTGAGCCACCGCGCCCGGCGCTAGTTTTACTTTAAATAGAAATGAATGAGATTTGTGTATATTTCTGAATTGGGAAGGAGTCAAAGAGTGGAAGAGGTTAAAGATATATAAAGGAGGAAATGGAGGTGAAATATAAGAAATAATTGAAGTGTTTTCATGATAGCACAGGGTGGGCATTCCTAATCCAAAAATCCGAACTACTCCAGTGAGCAGGTTTTGTGTGTGTGTGTGTGTGTGTGTGTGTGTGTGTGTGTGTTTGTGTGTGATGTGGGTGCTCAAAAAGTTTCAGATTTTGGAGCATTTCAGTTTTGGATTTTCAGATTAGGGTGCTCAACCCGTATTCACATTTGCAGTTTTCATAGTCTTTTTCTTTTCAAAAACTAAATAATAGACATTCTCACTCTGCCTTTTAATTAATAAGTCTTCTAATGCATGTGTCAAAGCAAGCCCTTAGAAATGTAACGTGGAGCAGCCTAAAAGAACAGTTGCAAAGTGAAGGAAGCTTGGATGTGGACAAGAAGTGTGGCTCTGATGCAGTTAGTCTGAACAGAACGGGATAGTGCCATATCTCATATGTTACTCCTCCTGGGACTTTTTAACACATAGCTATTTGCTTCTTAACACAAGGTTGTGAGGCAGCCAAGGAGGGAGTTTAGGTCACCATTTAACAAGTGAGACACGCTGGATGTCAAGTGACATAGCCGCTGCCACAGCCAGGCCGTGCTGGAATTGCAGCTTGATGCTCCGCCTTCTCTTCTCCAGGCTAGTGCACCTTTCATTAACGCATTTGCCTCCTTGCTTATAGTCCCTTTCACTTGTTTAGTCTTACAAAGTGTTTTGAAAACCACAGTTTCTTTTGATTCTCCCTCCAACCTTGAAAGAGCCAAGAGAGAATCTTCCCACGAAAGGATCCTCATATCCAGAGAAGTACATGATCTGTTAAAATGCCTCATCACTCTGAAATTCTTGGAGTTAAAGTTTCCTGCCAGTGTCCTTAAAGCGCACCAGTGATAAACCTTAAGACATTTGACAGTTTTGTGTTCATCACTTCATGTCTGTTTACAAACTAGTTTTTGAAACAACTGTGTTAAGGTCACTTTGGAAAAATGAGGAAAGACTCCCCACCCTGGCCAGAGCTTTGCCATCACTTTACTTTCTCCTCTTACCACATCTCTTCATTAGAGGTGGGAGACATATTGTTGGCTCATCAAATATGTATTTTTCTATGAGAAATGGGTTGAACACAAGGTTGCTCAATTTACCATCTCTAAGATAAAATGTGTCTTTTTTATTTACTTGAGAAAGTCATCCAAACAGAGCAGGGGTCTAGGGCCTCAGAATGAAAGGAATAGGGAGAAAACATTTGATAGACTTCTTTATACTTCACTTACCAAGCCTAGCTATGTCAGCCCCATGTGGGTACAGAGCATTGGTGGCTTTAGTTACTGAGTGAAGGTTGGCATTGGGAAATCCCAGAATTACGCAGGGAGTTCACGCTGCTCAGGAGACTGAGTTCCAGAGACCGTTCAGTGGGATGAGGTGTCCAAATGGCTCAGTCATGAAGGTTATGGCAAAATGTTGGCCACGGGCTTGTGAGAGAAGAGGGTGACTCTCCCTTGGATTGGTTAGTAAGGAATGCAGGATAGAGGGAGTTGTTTCATGAGTACAGAGTTTCAGTTTTGCCAGATGAAAAAGTTCTACAGATTGAAGTGATGAGCCACACCTGTGTGGTTCACACAGCGTGACTATACTTAACACTACTGAACTGTATGCTTGAAAATGGTTGTGGTGATAATTTTATGTAATGTGTATTTTACCACAATTTTTTTTTTTTAAAAGAATGCAGGACAGATTGCCCAGCTGTTATTACATAGAGTTAAGTCTGGCTTTTACCTCCTTTGTGTTAGAAGGGTACCAAGTGTATTTTCCATGCCATTACCACGTCTATACCACGCCCCCTGGGAATGATCCCTCTTAGTTTAACAGCTGCAACAACAAAAACCCTGACTGGGCTCAGGAATGCTGAGGCAGGCTTTTGGGAATACATCCCACCTTCTCACTCTACTTATGTTACTCTTTCTTGCTTCTTCCTAATTCATTGAGCCTTCGCCTAATGAGCTGGCTTAGTTGCTTAACCAGAGTAGTTAACCAGTGTTTGCCAAGAAGCCATTTCACAATAAGTTATTTTTATTAGAGACATATTAAGCAATGTAAAAGTATTACCTTATATAACAATGAGATATTGAAAAGCAGCCTATTATAATTGTAACAAATCGGGCCAGGAAGAAGTGGCATTAAGGTACAATAATTTAAATGAATTTATATATCATGTTTTGGTTATGGAGACTAAGTGCTTTTAAAAAAAGAAAAATGAACAAAAGCCAACTCTTTCTGTTAATGAACAGATCTACTTAAGTAGACATAACCTGAGCACTGTGGTACCATAGCAGTGGCTCTGGGTCAGAACTCTGCTCTCCTAGGGGCTAGACACAGAGACCTGGCACCCAAGGCCTCCGTTCTGAAGCCACTCTCTAACAAAGGAAACCAAGGCTTCTGGCTGATTCCAGTGCCAGGGCAGGGAAAGTACACGATGAACCTAGAAGATCTTGTGCTAGAAAGTAAAGAATTGTGGAAAAAATGACAGGGCTTGTCGAAAGAACATGGGAGCAACATAAAGGGGGTTCCAGTTGCCAAATCCAGGTCAATTTGAGAAAGAAATAATGACCGTAATGAGTTATATAGCCCACAGAATCTATTAATACCGATGTGTTCATAGGATGTAAATAATTGGGGAAACATGTCAGTGGTGGGAGGGAGAGCTCTTCCCTTACTCATTGTGAGTAATGTAG